AACTACTTAATGATGCAATGAAGTTTATCGTGGTTACATTAATGGCACGAAAAGTTTGAAAAATAATAAGATTCTGAAACTAATGGAAAAATATACGAAGTAGAGCAGTTGTTTTATATACTTTTGAAGAATTCTCCAGGCAAACCACGGTATCATTAAAAATATTCTTTTGAATTCTAGAACAAAGAAATATGTCATTGTGGTGTTTAAATTTTTTCTAGAGTTTGAGTATATATAACATATAAGATAATCCAGAAGTATTCGACATGTATTTCTTACTAGCTTCAGATACGTTTCTTTAGAATAAGGTATTATATAGTAAAATCGTAACATACTGGTACTATCGGGTTGGCAACTAAGTAAGTGCGGATTTTTGTTAGAAAAACAAAGTCTTATTATTCCAACTAAATAACTTTTTTCTGAAATGCCTTGTGTCTGTTGATTAATGGCTTATTGTCATTTTTCAAGCTGCATAATTATTTCACTTTCATAAAACTTCTGGCATTTATTAGCAACAAACTGAGTTAAATACAATTTGACACCTTCATCATTATTGATTTTTTTTTTGTAAGTTTCAAGAATTTTGTGAGATTAAAGCTATCATAATCAGATAGTATAAGGTCAGGACTTTATGGTAGATGTGGCAACACATTTCAATCAAATTCCAATAATTTTTACTGAGTGGCCAAAGATATGTGAGAGCATTTTTTCTCATCACCAGAATGAAATTTGGTAAACCAATTTGGCTCCATCAGTTATCAGGCATCATATGCGTTTTTACATCTGCAGAAATTAAGAAGCAAATTATGACAAAAAAACAATCGTTTGGATGATCCATATTTCAGCAGAAGCTAAATCTTTTTTTACAGATTATCAGCTGAACTGCCTACTATACAATAAGAAATATTGTACATTTGGACCACGTCAAAATCTTGAAAATTTGAATCCATCTAAGAGTGAAAGAGCCACTTACTTAGTGCCAACCTAATATATATGTAAACGTATTATAACCATTCTACCATCTCCGCAAATGGATTCACTTAATACCTATCACATTTCATAATACCATTTGTGTTATTCAATCATAAAATAGTACATAGAGCCAAGAATAAAACATTTAGCCACGCTTCGTGGCGCCGATCACATAAAATATCGGCGTTCTTGGAGTAATCCAGAATCTTTCATATGATATTTTTTTATTTCGTTTGGAACGGCTATGTCTCTTACCAAAGTGCACTGGATAACAAATAGCCAGTGGGTCGGCGTATCTACTTTTCTCGCCAAGGACCTCACGTGACCCAGACTTTTATAGGATTCGGATCTCTTTCAGTGGATGTAATATGAGGGTTTCGAATCGGCAGTAGCGCGATTTTGTAATGCATTACGAGCACTTTGGTCGTTGTCGTGATTTATGCACTTTACTTAGATTTTTAGGAATCGAGTTCATACAGAAAACACGCTAAAGTTCAATATTTTAAGCGGTACAATGAAATTAGATTATTGACGAGGATAATATTTTTAACTTTGAATCGGACACAATTCAAATCATAATATTTCAAAGCCATATTATGTATTTTATTGCTTTAGCAATTCGAAATTTTTGTGCTAAACGCATAACTTAATCAAATGTAGTCATAAATTTGCAACACCCAACGATACTTTCAATATTTGAATCCTACCTCTTTCATTTAGTTGCTCACTAGAATTTAGAAATTAGTATCTCAACACAAAGTTAATATAATAATTTTCAAATTAATGGGGTTAATGTAATATTTCACGAGTAAATTCATTAGCTCTAACAGAAAAATAAGTGTTACTAGGAAATTTGTCTATTTGTTTTTGATAAATTTATCAATTTGTAGATTTATCAGTTATTCAATAACTGATAAATATCTTGTTTTCATTTGAAGCTTCTAAATGCTTGGAAAGTTTGTAAAAAAATAGAAAAACTAACTTTCTTTTGTTAATTTTGAGCATTTTTTGCATGGAGTGGAAAACCGTTTTTTTAGTAGAAAATACCGCTCTCCAACGTATGAATAACATTTAATAAAAATGTAGCCAAATATATAAAATTTATGTTCAATGATTTAAATTGATATAAGTGTTGAAAATCGTTAGCCATTCTTCGTTTTACTATTATAAAATATTTACACCCTTACATGTAAAAAATAGCATAAGTAACAAATAATTAATTGATTTTGATTGAAACTTCGGTCAATTATTATTATTCGGTTCATAAATCGCATGAAAAAATATTATCAATAAAATTGAATAGTGAATAATTTTAATCAAAAGCTGCTTTAATCACAGAAAAATAATACCTGTAAAAACCTGTTTCCTGAAATGTCGGTTTTTGTATAAACCCTAGTATAAATATAATCATATGTTTGTCGAAATCTCACACTATCTGAATGAATATTTTCAAACTAGTTCCATTTCTCGAATGTTTTGCAATAACGAGTAACAACAAAACATAGTCGTGGATAAAACAAACACATATATCACAAACTAAACCAAACATTTTGTCTCTTACGGAATATTTTAATATTATCTGTCAATGGTTTATATCTAACACAGGAAAAACGCGGAAATACAAATTCATAACTCACACGGTTCGACAAGTCATACATAATTTACCGGCGCTTGTATATTTCAGTTCGAACCGATGGTTTTTTATTTGCCGAATTGTTTTATTTTTTCCGCGAGCTATGTATCATCGGGAAACGCGTGTTTGGCATTTCATCCATCATTTTCTCATAAAACTTCTCTCAAATGGAATATGTGATTTAAAAATCTTATTTGTATTCTATATCATTTTATTTCGAACCATTTACTGATATTAGGCAAAAAAAATTACATTGGCATTACAGTGCAAAAATTTTAAACAGATTTCGACGTAATATTTACAAACATTGTTTGTTTCAAGGATTAAACTACAAGCAATAAGAATTAACCACAATAATAGGAAAATTATCAAGCTCCAGGTTGCACTTACGATTTCATTATTTCCTATTTTCCTTGACGTTGAGTTCCGGGACACTCTGTACATTCATTTGTATTAGTTGAATGTTGAATAATTGCGTTTATGTCATTTATTAATATTTGTTTTGCTTGACTTAGAAACAGAATCGCATTTACAACTCTTAATGTGTTATATGTCCCGCCCTGAGAAATGTGGTGGTCTTCGTTTCAACCTTCTCGTAAACGTCTTCTGTAGAGATTTATATACTGCAAGCAATCCCCTGTGGAGTTGCCCTGACCGCCAAGTGTTCGCAATAAGACATTACGAGAAAATATAAATTTATATTTAACTTTCTACTGCTAATACTAATAATAAAAGAGATTAAGAATACTGTTCTGTAACTAAATTAAATTACTATTGCTACTGAGAGAATTTGTATTAAGAACTTAACACTTTCGGGACGGCACCGATTTCAAAACAATCTACTGTACCGGCTGTAAACTTGATTTCATTGTGTATGTTATGCAATTTGTTTGATAAAAGTTTGTGGTCATTGAAGGACATACATTTATAATATTAATTTATTTTTGATCATTTTATAAAGAATGGTGACGTTCAAAACAATTTCCAAAATGCATAGCTGGTTGATTTTGAGATGTTTTACAATAAAATGTTGTTCGCCGCCTTCTCCTGGTGCTTTTCTGTCAGAACAGACAATACAATCCCTTTTTCTTTCACTCGCATTTCGAATATGCCACTGAGTAGTCAGTATATTTGGTCATTTTTTTTCTGCCATAATGGTTTATTTTTTCTATTATATTGTCTAATAATTCATTTATAAAATATAAAGTAAAATAATCTATTGGTCGTCTTATATTGCTTGGTATTTGTAGTCGGGGTGCTTGTTGATGTATGTCAAACTCGATTATTGAAGGAGAATCGACTCTCCATTTAATTTGTCAAACTTCTTCTTATTTTTGTTGGTTGGATAATATCATCACCACATCCATCACTACCTTCGGTGCGAATACTAATTTCGTAAAATTTTCTGTGTGAATATCTATTTGGAACTCATCTTCACTACTGCTTAATTCACAAAATTTACCAGTCGTTTTGCCATATTTAAAAGCGCTCGGTCGTTTTAAATATTAAAAAAAGACTATATAGCAAAGGAAAAGGCTGAAAATGCTATTAAAATAACTTAAAATTATTTTCAAAATGCAATATTGTTTTTCACTGCTATATGTAATTTATTCAACTTTTCGATGCAAACTGAGTCATTGTTTATAAAATAGCCTGTACCTAACAGAGTATGTTTGTCCACTGAGGTGGACAGCCGTCCCCAAAGTGTTAATAAAATGGTAAAAGATTATGGAGCCAATAGGAAAAAACAGAAATGTTATGTAACGGGTCTGTAATAGTATGAGTAGCAACTAATTCTGCAGTTATTTAGAAAACATGGGCTCGCCCGTAGGTAAGCGGTTAAGAGCGACGGGACTTGTTTCAGAGGTCCCGGGTTCGATACCCACTTCGAGCAGCCTGTTGTCAGGCAACAGTGACAACGACTTTCACTTGGAAATATAGATAGCAATATGCTTCCAAGTGAAGATAGCCCTCACCCGGAATTTCTGCACCATACTTGCCCTATTACAGAGATTGTAATAAAAATTTATCATACAGAGATGTGACAACTGTTTGGGTTGACATCTGTAATAAAACAAACGTAGTTTGTAAGATCTTGATCACAACAGCTCATAGAACCCATAAGTTCTGATCGCTGTTCAAATAAAATTATATATAAAAAAAATATGCCATTAACTCTAATATTTCCATGGAAAGATTGCCTCGTTTAGATGGAAAGTATCCCCCGCGAAAAAACTCTACTCTTTCAGATATTATGGGACCTTAAACAATTTAATGATGACAAGCCATTTTGGTGTATAATATATTTGCTCGTTTGTTGTAGTTAGCAACTAATTCTGTAGTTCTTTAGAAAACATTATATAAATATTTTTTATGAAAGACTTTACAATTTTAGTGAGAAACCGGCGATCAGCGACAAGACTCGTCTGGACACCTCCGGTTTGCCAATAAGCGCAGACGCTATTTACACGACGCCCGCTGGCTATGCGGGTGCAACCCGAGCTTCCGGGAATCATCATTTGAATCATCACAATACTTACCACGGCGGTTCAGGCCGCCACAACGCACCGCATTCGCCAGAAGCAATGAAGGTACGCCTAGCCGCTTGTGTCATGCAACCGCCGACGCGGGTCTAGCATAAAATTATCGTCCCGCACCGAACAGCAACCGACAACAGTATCAAATCAACAAACAGCAAACCATCCTCAGCAAACAACATCCATTGCACGACATCCAACACACAACAGGTCACGAACACGACACAATCATTACAGACAAAATCTAACAGGCGTACCGAACGCACCCGCGATGGTTACGTGCTCGAGTACGAGTGTTGATAGCATCGCCGCCTCGGAATTATTGAGGCCGCCCTCCAGTTCCTCTCTGGACTTGCAATTAGACCGAGACAGATCTTCGGCCCTGTATACGATTAGGCGTTCCGTGCGCATTTCTAATCACACGCTCGAAATAAGCAGATTGCATCCTCATAATAAAGAGAACGGTTTGCAACTACTTTCCGATAGTCTAGAAACGCACGTTACACAAGTCCACCGGCGTCACTTATCCTACGGCGGCGCTGATTACTTTACTGATACTCGAAATGATTTAGATGCCGTTGATTCGCAATTTTCTATAGAATATCCGGATCAAACTGTTGCCAATTTTTATAACGATGATTTTATAAATACGCAACGTACTACCGATGTAAATATTATTAACGATCATCAAATCGCGGTTCATAATTCGGATGACAATACTTCCACAGTTATTATCAATAACTCTGAATGCAAGGACCAATATTTAGATAAAGCATTTTCTAATAGAAACCTTCACCGGCGTCATTTGTCACACGGTAATATAAATGATTTCAAAAATAAGCATTTCAAATCCTATGATCAAGACGATGCAATGTCCGGTAGAGTCATGAATTTAAGCACAATTTGTTTAGATTTCAAAAGTAGTAAAATTAAACATTATGATCGTAATGCGGATTTTTCTTTCGATAATTGTTCGTCTCGGTATTTGAGTCAGCCTAGAAAGATGCTGGCGCGAGTAGGGAAGCGCTCAAAATTATTACAAACAAACGACAATAATGCCAAGAATAATAAATCTAGCGAAGCATTTAATAATAAGGGGAAGGATTTACTACATGACCTTTGTTGCGATCTTAATGATCGTAACAAGAACTCCGGCAAAGATGGAAATAAATTAAGCATGACTAAATGCATTTGCCAAGAGATCAAAACTGATCTGGCGGGGTTAGGACCCTCCGATTGTGTATGACAATTTGTACATAGCCTAAATGAATTTATTACATTATATCAATAAATAGACTAACTAAGTTTAATAACTACGTATATAATTTAGAAATTTTTAATTAATTTATTAACAAAGATACTCATTTTGTGCTGGAACTATAAGTAGTTTGTATTTATTAGAGCTTAAATTAAAACTACCAAGAACAATAAGTAGCTTTAATATTTAAAGTATATATTAGCAAGGCATCTAAATTATGTAAAGATCTAAAATTAATTTTATACGAATTATTCTCTAATAAATTTTAATATATGTTAATTGTTAATAGTATTTAAATTGACTATAAAGTAAGATTTCAATGTTATTTTACCAAAAGCCTAGAATTATTTTATTTCTATTTTTATAGATAGAAATTATGGATTGTTAAATTTATTACTGTTAGTAATATTATATTTAATTTCCTTAGAAGCTAGAGCAAACCTTAATTGATTTTTTACGTTGAATCAATTTATGCTTGATCTCACGCAAACTTAGAGTAACTATTTCTCTTTACGTATGTAAGGTAAACTTTACTTGTGGAAGTATAAAATAATTTTCAATAAAAATAACATCCACATGTAAGCAATAGTGTAAATAGAATTGAACGTTACATTGTAGTTCTGAATATTTTCTCACATGCTTTTATCTGCTTAATGCGCCAATTATCGACAATATGCGATTAATGTAAATATAATATTTTTATTGCGTCAATGGGGCACTCAACAAATAATTCTGTAAAAAACACAATACCAGAAACAAAATGCAACAGACACGACCGAGTGTGGCACGCACGTTGAGCACCACTGTACCTTTGAGATACTTCAAACACATAGTAGTACAATAGAAGCACTTCACTTTAAATATTGTATATTTTTCGAAGCACTAGTTTTATCAGCACAATTTTTGTAAAGCACCAAAATTTCTTTTGTAATATACACTAAACGTACGGTCCGAATATTCAATGACCGAATTGCACCAATATTTGTGAATATTAGCTATCACCACTGAAACTTGAAAGCACAGTACTTTTAATTTTTTGCACTTATTAAGAATTTTGTATATATAGATATATGTATATATGTATATTTGTATGCTACTATTGATGTTTGTGATTATATCATAGAAAATATTGTACAGGTGAGAATCAGATAAAACTCAGTTTATATTTAAGTCAATGAATATATAATTTAATCGTGCAAAGTTCGCTTTCTTCGCAATTATATTCATTTCGCTATTCAGTTTTTTCAATTTTATGAAAATAATTATAGCAACAAAAATGTATTGCACTACGGTATTAAAATTAATTCTTATAACTATTTTTATGCACAAATACTATGGCCTAAAATTTCTTTATTTTTATTTCTATAAGTAGCATTTTTATTTTACTTATTGTAAATACATTCAAATCCTTTATACCTATATCTAACTAACAATGGGCGACTAATGTTACAAACTATTTGACAATAATTAGCTTAACTGTGATAAATTTTAAAATCTCATTTTTATAGAAATATATATGAAAGAAAAGTTGTAGTAGATTCAGAGACGTAAATTGTTTAACATTTGTCGGCCTAAGCAATGATCTTTTTTTCATTTTTGATCGTTTTTGAATTTAATCATATAATATTGTTAACATCATGCAGAAGGATATTTTGAATTAAATTTAAATATTTTATATTATCAAAAATTTTCGTATTTTTGAATTAATAAGTTTACAAAGCATAAAATTTTATGTAAAGTCAATATTCATTCTTATGGCTTATTTTGATTTAATATTGTTTTTCTTTCTAAATCTTCAGCTTGCAAGGGATTCTCATAAACTTCATTTTTTTCGGTATTATCATATCTATATTATATTTATTAAATAGATTTTGACAAAAAATAAATAAACAGTACCAGTATTGTTAAATAAATGTAGCAAAAATCCAGAGTTAAGGTGACCATACTTTTTTAAGTCAAAACCGGGAAGGCAATTTTTAATTCTGCTAACCCGGAACAAGGTAACTGATATTTTATTAAATAAAATCTGTTTTTTTTAATAATACTGACTATTGAAAATACTTTTAATTCCGTTATTTGTTATATATTCTTACAATTTTGAATCTATATATTTTTTCACTTTTGAGTCTTGTATAAATTTTATATAATTCTTTTTATAATTAACTTGAAAAATATTACTGTGCTAGGTAGTCAAAAAGACCGTTTTTATAATTTTTGCCATTTTTCTCATTCATAATGTCTTAAATCATTCTCATTTATCTATTTATCTTAATAAAATCTGAAAACAGTTGTAACATTTTTCGGAAACCCTGGACAAAAATCTAAATCCGGGACAAATATTGTTTTTAGAAAAACCTTGGGCACCAGGTGGAAATCCTGGACATATGGTCACCTTACTAGAGTATTATTGTTTAAAGAAATACCAAAAAGTAGTATTGTTGAAAAATACTATCAAAAATCCAAAGGATTGTTTTATTATACAATGGCATTTAATTTTTGTTTTTAATATGTCTTTTTTGTGCGATGACAATTGAAATTGTGGAATTGAACAAGCAAAACGGTCATATCTTATGAATAAGGCTTATATATTATTAAAAGTTTTATTTTCCCTATTCTGCCTAATGTTAACAAGAATTTTATATTCTAATGTAGTACCTGTATTATTATATACATATATGTATATATACCTATTTCTTCTTAGTTCCTTATCTAAACTATATATAATTAACTCTAACTTAAAATATTTTTTTATCCCTGTATAGACACCAGTACTGCGCACCTTTGGCAATCATATAGCGTGAAAATATTCACAACGTATTCCTATCCAAAATATCACCTAATTAACAAAAAAGTTCTCACCATCGCGCGCTGGTTACGGAGTGAAGACACAATGCTATATATATTAAAAATCACCAATAATATCACACACAACCATTGAGCAAATCACATAGTAGCCAAATTATACCAACCAACTCAATCACCAATGCTAAACCATCACCAACCACAACCTATTAACACTGGCACCATTTCGTATGATGTACCTAATAGTAGATTATTTGACAACTGCAAAATGGTAATCATTTTATGTAGATTGTATAGATCATGTTCAGTAGACAACATTCATAAAAAAATATCATTCAATTTAACAAATTTACTAATTTTTTTCGTTTCAAACTTGTATTAGCAATTTCGTGTAATAATATTTTACTTATGCTAATGGGTCGATTCTGGCGCACAATAGACCAATGTTATGGCAAGGCCATATTACGCTTCAGCTTGCATACATTATGCTACTGAATCATACTGAATACTGCCAAAATGTCATGCATTTGCTGTGCATTCGGCGTTTTACACATAAATTGCAACGTCACTTATATGTTATGAAGCTGGGTCAGAAAGACCCTGTTATCTAAGATCGTTGTGCAGTTTTTAGGATAAGTTTTCTTACATGACAACCTGACTGCACAGCAATCACATGGCTTTTGTCAATATTTAGAACGAATTAGTGTGGAAAGTTTTTCATAACATAGCCTTGCCATAACATTAGTCTGTGGCATAAACGGCCCATAAGTATAAATTATAGAATTATAATTAAATCTCACTTTTATAAGTAAATTGTGTCATATGGATAGATCACAAAATTAAATTCTATATAACCATATTTTTGTCAAGGGCCGTTTATTAATCACTAGAGACTTAAAAGGGAGGCTTGTATCAATTTATTACGTGAATTTATTTTTTACCTGAAAATTTAAAATATTATTTTTTTAAATATTACTTTTTTTGACAATAAAAATGTGGATAACTTTAAATGTAATCACTTATCACCGGGGAAAGAAGGAATTCAAAAATTATTGGACACCTCCCAATCAAAACTTAAACAGTAATATAATATAATGAATTTCGTAAATTTTTGTAACCGAAGTCAATTGCTTTTGTTAATATTATTATTAAATTAGGAATAATAATAATTTAATAACTTCGCGTCTACTTAACATGATCATCTATTAATTAAGTCTATCAATAAATACATGTAAGTAATGATCATATTAACTTTTATTTTAAAACTCAAAGTATTAAATTCAAGACTAATTAACAAAGTCAAGTATGCACAAATGTATGATTAAATGTGTTCATTAAATAAAGTTAATATGATTCTACCCACTGTATATTAATCACTTTGCTGGTTTATGGCCGTAGATTAGGTGTGAGTATCTGTGTATAAATCTGTAATTTTGCTAAATCTTTTATAATTTAACTGTATGTTAAACTAATGAATAATAATTTTTTTCTATGTACATATACGGTAAGCCAAATGATTTATATTAAATAATTCTCAAATTACGTAATATTTTTAATACTATACAGGGTGCTTTGAAATTAATGGAAAATGATATATCGCGTTAACTTGGTGAAGGATTGCTTGTAACTCTGAGTGAGAATTTTTATTACTAATATCTTAGTTCAAATTTTAACATTTGCTATCACTAGTGCTTAAATTATTTATTAAGAAAAAAAAGAAATACTAGTTGGATCATAAGAGTACGGTATTTGAATTGCCAATCCTGTGAATTTTAAGATATTTTGATTTTGCGCGACTAGCAAGCTGTGCACGATTACCAAGAATAATACCAAATTCGTGATAACATGAAAATTTGTTCATACTATGTACATGTACTATCCACAGAACCGGTCGACTTTAAACACGTTTTACACTCCAAATTATGTCGATGGTACGACAATGCCAAATCGTTACGATTTATTTTACCCAGCTGATCGTTTCTACTCTACGCTGGTTAATAGTTCTACTCCAATCGATTACCGACAATTTCGTCAGAGACCTCAAACACCAGCTTCAGGAAGTCTGGTTATGGATGGTTCTTCTTCTGATGAACTAGCACCTATCAGAGGACGTCTGATCGTGGAGGATAATGTTACTTATAGGAAGAAGGATGAGCCATTCGACATGCTGGGTATACCTGACAATGGTTCCTATGCTAAATCTGGAACCAAATCCAAAATGGAAAGGGCAATGAAATCTACTGTAGGCAACGTTATTGACGCATTTGAGTCCATGTCTAGACAGAGTTATAATAACGTGGCCAGAAGCAGTCCTAATATATATAATACAGTACAGAAAAATAAATATTCGACAGGTACCAATGCTGCTAAATATAACGCAAGGGCACGACCAAAACCTCTTCAAGCTTTTGGAAGTGATTTGGATACTGCTTTTCCTATAACAAAGGTTCCGAATCAACGCACCTCCATTAAGGATAATATGAAATGAATTAATTTTGATGTTCATTGAACTTCTTTTGACAATCGATTGAGGTAGATTCAATCTTTAGCAGCTGGACCTTTACTAATTATTCGAAGCAACTCAATTTTTGTCCTTTTGGGGTAATTCCTTTTGAGGTAAATTTTTCACGTCACATGTTCATTCCCTAATCATTAGTAATGCTGCGTTTATTTTTTTTTTGAGATCATGGATAGAAGACTTACATGCAATTTTTTGCATTTTAATTCATTTTTTGAACAACTTAAAATTTTTATTTATTAAATGTATAGTTAATTGTGCTATCTGAATATCTTTTTTATTTTATGATATTATAAATGTCTTTTATTGATATTTTAATGGATAAAAATTATTAAATCAGAACAACATTTTATACTTTTCTGAACTATATATTTTTTGCAGTACTTTGTTTCAGTTTGAACAAAAGGTGGCCATATTTTATGGATTAATAAGGCCGCAGATATTTCTAGATTTTTTTAACCGAATTACTATTACAATATTTGAACCGAAAATAACAGTCCAAATCAAAATTCGCACAAAGTAATATTACTTAATTAGCACGCTAAAATCAATTGATATTACATAATCATAAAGAAAAATGTACATAATTTTATGTCAATTTTAAAAACCGAAAAAGGACTTATTATTATTTAAAAAATATATTGTAGTCGGTAGTTCTGATTAAAAAAATTTTATTGAATTGGAAAAAAAGCAACATCCTTGAAAGATGACCGAAAGATCCATTGATGGGAATTCAACTACTTTTTGATATTGATAATTTTTATAAAAGCAATAATTTTATATTTGAGTTTTTTATTTTAACTGCTCCTATACAAGTTTATGTCCTGCTTTTGAAAAAAAAGATATGTATAAATAACTCCTTAATTTTGAGCATTGAATGAAATTTTGTGCATTTTTTTAATAATTAACTTTAGTTTAATTGTTGCTTCTAATGTATCTATTTTAGGTTTGGCATTTTGATATCTACAACTTTTTGGCTCAAATTTTGTAACAATAATTCTAGTTTCAATATATTCAAAATAAATATTGAGAATAACATTAAAATGCATTTTGAAAAATTGGATACAATCCAATAAAATAATTACAAACGCTACGTCGACTTTGCACAGTAATTAACAATTACTCACGTTTTGAATTTTATCGTGTTCTCTCTAAGCAGAGCAAACCACGAAACAATTTTTTTCTATATTTACAAATTAATTAATTAACAAACTTTTCAACGCATTATATCATGTATTTACTAAGAAGTATTTTACTTTCTATTATTATCTAAAAATAAACCTAAGATTATTATGAGCTCTTGTATGAGATAAAACACTCGTTAGTCACAAAAAAATCATCTATCCCTTTTTTATAATATTCGTATAATAAAAATAATTTATATATATATATATATATATATATTATAATAATTATAATTTGCAAACGTCGAACATTTTTATTTATATATAAAATAAAATAAAATTGCTAGAGTAACCCTTTTGATTGCTGCAACACAATCATATTTTAAAATGATTAATTGTACTAATCAGTTTCTAATAAAATGATCAAAAAATTCAAAATTTATTATCTAATGACACATATAAATGTATGTCTGTAAATCAAAAATTGAAATATGAATCATATTTTCAAAAAAAAATATATATATACATAAAAGTAGTAAAATTTCATAAATAATAAAATGTTTTTGTTACTAATATTATAAATTTTATTAGATTAAGTATACTAAAAATAATCTGTATTTTTACTTTACACACAAAAAACTTCGCGTTTTATAAATAAGTAAAGTGATAGCAAATGAATATCTAAAAATATTTTTCTAATTGTTTTACTTAAAAAGTAATTTATAGATCATATTAATATTAATGTTAAAACAGTATTTATAGTAGTTTATAATAAATTCTATATATTTTACATTGCGTTGCTTATATGTGGATATTATAATATTACAAAGAGATTTTGCGTATAGTTACAAATGATATAAAATTAAATAAATCATAAAGTTTATTAACTTTATGGATATTATATTATGAAGTGTTATGTTCATAGTTACTATATTATAAATGTTGTATGGTGCTATTGACCAAAATTGACCTCAAAAGCGATTTTTGGCCAATGTATCTTCTATCATTGAAAAATTATGTTATGTTATAGTAAGATAAGATTCAATTTTTCAAAATATTTAATTCGTTTTAAACTCATATTAATAATTATTGATCTGTTATCATGTAGATAGATCGAGTATATTTTACTTAAGTCGTAATGAAATTGTATATAAAATTACTAGATTATAGCGAAATTTGTAAAAATATGCTTTCATGATGAATTATTTTATATATATATATATATATATATATATATATATATATATATGTGTGTGTGTGTATTATTAATTAGCATATTAAATCAAAACTGTAATCTAGTACTCAAATTACAGAGTATTGCATTATCATAATTGTAAATAGCAATGTGACTGTAAAATAGGAAAACTGCCATTTTATAAAAAATATGTAGCTACATTTCTGCATATGAATAGCAATAAATCAAATCTAGTATTATTGAATGTTACAGACATTCTAATATACTTCATAATTAAGAAATTTTATGACATTAATAAAACAGTATCGTAAGAACTAAGATTGTTTTATGTATAATTAAAATTATTTGCGTGCAGAAATATATATGTACATAAAACTTAAAATCTTCCAATCGAAATGCAATATACATAGTTAATTTTTTATGCTAACTGAATTCTATTTAGATCATATGGCATTCGCTGTAATTGTAATAAGTGTAAAAAAATGCAAGAAATGTGAATTTATAATATTTTAAATGGCTTGATTTAGTTTTATGGCATTTTTGCACTTGAGAATAAGCCCCTAGTACTGGACATATATATAGTAGGGTGGTCTTTATT